CGTGCATCGCGCTGCACTGCTTTTACTTTCGGACATATCATCGGCCAAGGACAAGCATCGGCCGGACGTAAGAAACGTTTCGATCTTCTCGATGACTTAATTCCGAATTTTTCTATTCGTTGCCCAAAATCGTTAATCATATAGAACGGTCTTTGACATTCATGCAAAGATTGACGTGGAGAGATAGTTCCACTAGAAATTAAAGTTTCATCGCCGACGATTTTTAAGTCTTTTTGATGCCGTCTTTTCTTCAGTGCGCAGCGTTTTTTTAAATCTATTTTATATTTATGGGGTATTAAGCGGCTATAATATGCTTTCTCTCTCAAGCTGTAAATAGACGATTCCCTATTCAAGTCTTCCTTATGCTCTACAGTCAGCGATTCTCTTTCCAATTCCTCTTTACCGTCATCAGCAGGTGTTTCTTTCTTCAATTCTTGCTCATACTCTTCAGAGAGCGATTCTTCTTTCAATTTCTCGTTAAAGTCATCAGCAGGTGATTCTTCTTCCAATTCTTCTTTATGCTGATCAGTGAGTGATTCTTTTCTCAATTCTTCTTTATGATCATGACCAGGTGGTTCTTTTTTCAATTCTTCTTCATGGTCATCAGCAGGTGGTTCTTTATACTCAGCGGTAAGTGAATCTTTTCTTAAGTCCTCTTTATGCTCAATACTAGGCATTTCCCTTCTCAAGTACATTGAGGCTTGATTTCGGATAAAGCTAGCCTTAAGCATTTCGCTTTCCAAGTCTTCATCATTTTTAGTGCCATTTATTTTTTTTTCTTCTTCCTCAGGAGCATAACGCGTTCTTTTCAATTTTTTCTTATACTTATCAGGGCGCAATTTCTTTTTCAAATTTTGCTCAGATTTAGCTGGTGGAAGACTACTCTCTTTTAGAGTGAATATTCGCCCACCATAGGGAAGATCTTTTTTATACTTGTCAGTGCGCAATTTCTCTTCCAATTTTTGTGCAGGCTTAGCTGGCTCAATAACACTCTCCCTTGGAATGTATATGCGTCCCCCACTAGGCAGTTCCTTTCGTATGTCTTCCTTATGCGTATCAGTATGAAGTTTTTTTCTCGGATATGTTTTACGCTTTCCAGGGCGCCTTTTCTCTGCAAGCTGACTAATACCGGGCTGTGTTTTAAAATCATCATCTTGATCTACAGTGTTTAGCAGGATGTTTATATATTGCTCAAGTTCAGGTAGGTCAAGATCATCACGCTTTTTAGTTGAAAATTGCTTAGGAGCAGTATGATACCTTTTTAAGCCTTGTTTATGCGGCTCCGTCCTTAAGTCTTCTTCACGATCGTCAGTCTTAAAGTTTTTCTTCAAGTCTTCTTTATGCTGGGCAGTATGCATTTTCTTTCGTAAGTCTCTTTTCCACTCCTCAGAAGACATTCCCTTTTTCATATCCTTCTGACCCTTACCTATGCGCCGTCTCTTATCATACTTATCAAAATGCATTCCCTCTTTTCGCTTTTCTTTCGGCACTTTTGAAAATGTTTCAAACTCAAGTAGCGCACTATCGCGACGTTTCGGAATAAGTGAATGCTTACTTGTAAAGAATTTTTTTTTATACTCATCAGGTTTTGATTTCTTTGTTGAATCTTGTTTATCTTCACCAGTGCGAGGTTCGCCTGTTAATTTCTTTTCAACCGCGCTAACGTGCGGTTCTTCTTTCATGTCTTGTTTAGCCTTAACAGCGGACTGTTCCTTTGTCAAAACCTTTTTCTCCTCAACAACGTGTTCTTCCTTTGTTAATTCTTTTCTATGCTCATCGGATTCATTCTTCAAGTCTTTTTTATCGTCACGAAGTTTCTTTATCAGGTCTTTTTTATCTTCGCCTTCATGTTCGGTAGGGTGCATTCCCTTTTTTAAATCTTTTTTATCCTCGGTTTGCAATTCTTTCGCCGAATCTTTTCTATGATCGCCTGCGTCCAGGTCTTTTTTCAAGTTCTTTTGATCCTCATCAGAGTAGAACTCCTTCTCATCGGACTCTTTCTTCAAGTCTTTTTTATCCTTATCGGAATAACCCAAGTCTTCCTTACCCTTACGGGGTTGAAATTTGCTAATTAAATGTTTTTGATCGTCATCAGTGCGCGGTTTGTCCTGTAAATCCTTTTTATTCTTACCAGCAATCGGTAATTGCCCTCTCGGCATGCCCCTTCTATTCCAGTTAGTACGTAGCGCTTTTTTCACCTTTCTTCGATTAAAAAACGGTTGCTGTTTTCTTTCACTATGTCTCCTTTTCATTCCTAGGTGAACCCTATTATTTTTACGAAGTAGCAGCGGATAACGTTGTTCTCCTTCTCGCTTACGAACTTTCTTTTTTAAAAATGTTGGTTGGAGTGGCTGAGAAACTTCTTTCCCCGTTGCCGTTGAAGCGTCAATCTCTTTTCGATGCCGAGGAACAGATGTTTCGGAATCTCGCATAGCTAATCCGTCCGTTTTTTTCCATATCTCTCGTAAACGTGGTTTAGGCATGGGTTTTGCCGTTATTTTCTTTGTATATAACACCGGTTCGGATACCGTTTTTTTACTCTCTTTTGCAACATTTCTACGTTCTTCATCATAATAAAATTTTTGTGGTGTTACGCCTAATGATGAAGCTGGTCTTAATGGTTCCTCGATTCTCTTTGGTTTCCTGGATCTGTACTTTGGCGACTGAGCATTTAAATTATATAACTGATTCATGCTTTCATTATGCTTACGTAACAATTCAAGAAATTCCGGCGACATATAGTTTGTTGATTCTTCTTCATCTACATTGATCCAAGTTCTTAACGGTGGTTTGATGTTTAAACACTCCAAAGGTGGTGAACTAAATAACGATTGATTCTGACAAAGATATTGACGGTACAGCAAAGCCTCTTTCGGAGTCAGTTTTTTAATATCCGTTAATAGTTTTTTTAATTTCCTTTGGTCCGCAAACCATTGGGCAGCTATATCTGGTATTAAAATACAAGACTTTCCTGTAGCGGCCCACAAATTTCGGCGGACTTCATCGCAAACAGCGCATTTATGATATTTTGGTTTATGTTTAATGGATTGGTAACGCGACGGCGATATGAACTCTTGCGACGTATCGTAATAGTTTGTATGCGCGCCATAATAGTCACCGCAACGGGACGCTGCTAATATTGGCGAAGTCAAGTATTTGAAACAGCCTGTTTTACGAAATTTATCAAAAATTTCGCTTCCATCAGGTGGCCATTGTTTGCTCATTTCGTTTCCCGCAATTTCTATTTAATTTTATATATTTACAAAAAAATTTTGAGTTTGAAAAGTAAAATAGTTAGTTGTAAAAGTAGCAATCGTGAATTACTATGCAAAGCAAACGGGCCACCAGAAAGAAGTTGCCACCTTTCGTACACCCTTGATACTGCAAGCCTTGAATTTTTCCCACGATTATTGAAACTTTCAGAAGGCATACCTGCCTCTAGTTTTGAACAGTGCAAGCTTATTCAGGCGTGCTTTTCATCGATTTACTTTAATTTATTTATTTTCGTGCATCGATCTTAAAAATTTTATCTACTATAGCAATCTTTGCGGTGGCTTTCTTCAACACTAATCAATCATTAATCAAATTTACCGTTATTGAAACTCAAGCAACCCTTCGTCCATTAAAATCGAACTCATAGTATAAAGCAAAGAAACAACCGCTAAAACATTTTACGGAAAAACCTCTTACGGATTCACTAGCGGAATTATCCGGTCGAACATTGTTTATACTGTTTCCTTTACTTCTGCTAAGGACAATAATGAAATAATTAAAGTTGGTCTTTTGAACGATTACTGTTTGATGTTTGCATGAATTTATGACGCATGCAATAGGAGGAAATTCTACATATGCTACGATAGGTTACAATGACACTCCTTCATTTGTACAAACCCGCGAAAAATTAATTCAAAATCCTATTTAACATATGGTTGCATTGCCATCTTGAGGTTAGTATTCCGGATAATAAGCTAGCGGACCTTGCAGCTGAAGAAGCCTGTAATTCATCACGATTTATATTTCTTACCTACAATAAGACAGACTTAAGATTCTTTATACAAAAACAATCTCGTGTTGTGCAGAAGGCCCAGGTGCCCTCATTCATAAGAGTCAGATCAGCATATACCAATCTAACCCATAATCAACTATTAGGCAGGAACAGAGGACGCTAAGTTCGTCTTTAAAACAATATAACGTGAACTTTAGACCACCTACTAAATGACTGTAGTCTTGCTCTCAAAAAGAAAGACTCACTTTGGTCACGAACCGATTACACGATTACACGTCTTCTCAAATTGCCAAACGGAATACAGTAAATGTATTGTGAAAATCGAATTAATTTCGCACTAAAACATGCACGTCTTCCAATCTGTTAAATGGCCTTTTGCCTGCCACCTATTTATGAACTTTTTATAGCCCTCCTTTATTAGGAAGTATTGGGAATTCTTTTGGAGTTGAGAGCATTAAAAGTGGTTAATTTATTGAAACAATTTTACAATCCGTGGAGCAAATATTTGTCTGCTAAGTTCAGGATGCGAACTATACTGCGGATGCACTATATTAATTCCTTTAAATTAGAATAACTCTATTGAAACAATCGTGGATAGAACTTGTCTTTTCTAATTTTTACATATCTTTACAGATATCTTTACAGATATCTTCCAAATTAAGTTCGTAACGCTGAGAATAGCGATTTGTAGGATAGTATACACAGTATTTACAATTCTTACAGGAGCATATAGTTACAACACTTTAACTCTCTTAGTTCTTTTGATCTTGTCCGTTCGAAAATCGAAACTCAACTCTCTTAACTCAACTCTTTCGACCAACTTTGCCTTCATTCTTTGCAAATATTCTGCTTATATATCCCTTTTACCATTACCTAAGTTCCGATCGCTGGGATTTATTTTTACAAAGATTTTATAATATTGCTTTCTAATTTCTTTCTCTTCTTCTATGTCATCTTATCTGTGACCTTTTTTTGGTATTTATTTTATTTCCAGGATTGTTTCAGCGATACAAGCCGCATTTTCATTTCTGGTGGGTTTCATAGTGTGCAAGTCGACATGCAGTAAATCATTTGTATATGCTTCGCATTGCCTAATGGAAGGTTACGGCTGGTTTGGTACCGCTTATTTTATGTACGATATTTGGTCTATGTACAAGGTGCATAAGCAAAAAATTACCGATAAATTAAAATTAATGCGTTTGACATCGAATGCATCATTTATGCCGAAAGCGACAAATGGTCAAAAAAATGGTGGTCTCTATGATAAATATATGGCTACAACATTTAATGCGAACGGTGAACGTCTAAACGCTTTAGATATCGCATATAATAATGACGAGATAGCGGATTATGTGGATGGTGCAGATGATAACGTGCGACATAAGCGTCATCATGAGGATGAAATTTATGATTATGACGGCGAATGTGTGCAGATACCGGAGAATGGAAAATGGGGCTTTCTCAAATATGTACTAACACATCCAATTATGATGATACATCATGTATTTGTGGGTACAGTTGGATTTTTGGTGGTAACAGTAAGTTTACAAATGCAACTTTATAATCGGCAAATTTATTATTAAATTTCTTTCTCTTCCCCCTACATCCCCCTTCAGTATATACGTGGCGGAGGTCATTGCATTTATAGCTATATGTTCATGATGGAGTTTTCCACTCCTTTTGTATCGCTACGAAGTATTCTAAGTACATTGGGCTTAAAAGAAACCCGCATATATATCATAAATGGGTTGATAATGTTATTGTCGTTTTTTATCTGTCGTGTGTTGATGTGGCCTTATGTTATGTGGCGCTATAGTTTGGAAATTAAACTTAATATATGGCAAGCTATTTATGGTTTACCAGCTGGTTGTATTATAGGAATCTTAGTGCTATTCCTGCCACAGCTCTATTGGTTCTTTTTAATGCTTAAAGGAGCCTTAAAGGTATTGCAAATAATTTAAAAAATATTTGAAAAAACAATATTTTTCTCATTTTTTTTTTTTTTTTTTTGTATTCTCCTAATTTATAGGTTTTCTTTCCGATCCAATCTATAAAAAAGAAAATGATTTTAGATAAAACAATCCTATCAGACGTCAACGGTCAGTGCTCAAACGGCAATGACCGGTCAACGAAAAATGGTTCTTTATTGCATTCTCTTGAAAAGCTTTAAAATTCCGTTCATGTTTTTCATAATTTTAAGATTTTTCTCGTTATATCCCAAACCAATAATTATACCTTAACATATTTTAAACTTGTCAGTAGGTGTATTTATAATTATAAAAAAAAAAAAAAAAAATCATAATAATAAAAATAACAAAAAGATAGTTGAGATAAATTATCTATCGAATTTGTGTCCAAAAGCATAAAATATGAAGCAAAAAAGAAAGAAAAACCCTGATAAATGGCATTTAAATTAGCGAGAATAAAGCCACGTGCTTAAACGACGATCATGTAAACACCCGTCATTTACAGTGTAACCTTTTTCCGTTTTTTTTATTTCATTCTATAAAATTTAATTTAATTAAACAATTTTATCGCGTTATAACTTTTAGTTGTTATTTAATTTTTTAAAGAAATTCCACAAATGTTCTTAAAACAATTTTCGCATTTTTTACACACATTTTGTAAATAATAGGAAAACATCTTCCGTTATAATACCTAAAAGATATGATCTTGTACTTTCTCATTATCTTATCTCTCTCTTTACTTTGACGATTATGTACTTTATTTTGTTATTCTTGCGATAAATTTATATTCTCTCTTCCATGAGATTTTGCGTCGCAAATGAATATATCAAAAGATATTCGACGAATAATTAAAATCATCATATATCTTTTGCTATAAAAACATACTATTGCGATACAATGGCTCATCGCTAACGTTTTACCTGTAAGCTTAACCTTACGCCGCACAAACTTTATTTCTTCAATAACATAAGTAATGAAGACTCTAAATCGTCTTAGTCTCCAACAGAAAAAAAAAGAAAAAAAAAACTGATTGATTACAAAGTATAAAATGGGACATCCGTTGATTTTTTTTTTTTTTTATCGACTATAAAACAAATAATGGCCAATTGATTTCATAAAAATACAAATTTTTCACATATTTCTTGTTGAAAAGTGACTCGCAACGACGATTTGCTGAAGCCAACGCTCATCATCGACATTCAATGCAAAACATTGCTTATACAAAACTTTACAAATCTAACGCAATATTGCCCAGATAATTGAAATGATAGCAGATTTTTTTTTTTATTTTTATAACACTAAAGTGAACCGCGGCCCATCATTTACACCCTGCACAACTCTTCTGAATCCATTAGTATAATGAAAGATGGACCTATTTCAAATCGTTCTGATAGATTATCGGATCTGACTGAACATCCGCACAACTTCATGTAATCTTGTGTGTATACAAACAGTGTAGAGTATAATGATTCAAAGAAAATTGGTGATTAAAGAAAAAAATTGCATACAATTAACCGAAGCATTAAATTTTTCTCACTCTAACATATAATATACTAAGAATTTTTTTATTTCCGCTTGTACTGAATATCTTATAAGATTATTATAACAATTAAAAAAAAAAAAAAAACCAACAGATGGCCCACCGTAGATTTTTTTTTGAAAAACAGCTATATTTGCGTTATTGTGTTGAAATGGCATTACATGAAATAGCCATTTCATAATTTTTGGAATCGCACAAGCGAAAAAAATTTATTGCAATTAAATTGTTTTCGTACATACACTAAATTTTTTTTACAATTAACTGCAATCATGAAGCAGTTTTTTAGGTACTTTAATAAAATGTCGTTAATAAAAAATAAAATTAAAAAATTTATTTATATAAAAAATTATTCTTTTTTTTTCTTTTTTTTTTTTTTTTGTATTATATATGTACGTGAAATCTAAAATTCATTGGAATTGCATACTAAAATCTTTCATGCGATAAATTATAATGGTATGCAATTGAAATTATAACATGAAATAGTTTATTTCGTCTTTTCACTTTCTATTCTCCTTATCAAATGAAAATAAAATGTGGAAATGTCTCGAATAAAAAAAGAAAAATATTGGGAGATATTAGAAGAAAAAAATATTTTTTTAAAATAGAGCTTAAAATCAAGAAAAAATAAGAAGAAAAATTATGCAAAAAGAAGCTTAAAAATGTAAATTTATACTTCCAGAAAATATACGAAATAATTGCTTTATGACAACATGAAAAAAGAAAAATTAACAATCCAGACTACGTCTTACCAATAGAAATTTAATATTATTCGATGTGCTTTCCCATAAATGTTAATAATTAGCTATTTGGTACTGATGAGAAGAGAGAAAACAATATTATGTATAAGAGTTTAGAAAAGTAAAAATTGAAAATTATTTAATGAAGATTTACAATAAATTAATTAATAATAATATCTTAAAATATCTTAAATTTATTAACGTAAAAATATACTTATAAATGTTTTACAAGAACAACAATAAACGAAAATAAAGTACAATATAATACAAAAATAATTTATTTTTAAATAAAATCATCTCTGTTCTATGCCCTTAACACTAGAACTACCGAGTATGTAATTTTGATCGTTTTTAAATTTCGATCTTCAAAAAAACGATTAGACCCGATGTCATATATTAAAATTTTTTTCGTATTTTTTATTTATGTGAAAAGATCTTGAAATTTCTATTATTAAGTTTTTTTCTGCCTACTCTAGTTTTCGAGATACCGATAATATATATCTTTTTCTACCGAAAGGGGAATGCGTGCTCTAATATTTAGGGTAAATCTTTTTTCAATTATCATTTTCCATTACTTATTTCCAATGTGTAATATATTTACTGGGAAGTAATAAATGGAATGTTATTGGATCAACGTCAACATTTTTGGGAAAAGGAGAGAGATTAATAATTTACCGAAAGAACAGTTACTATTAAAAAAAATATTAATTTCAGTGTTTAATTTTAAGAGAAAATATATATTTTGCATTTTATTCGTCAGAACATTACTAAACATCTAAACATCTAGAGGAGAGATAGAAGAGCTAAAGCGACCAAGTGAAGGAAGAAGAATCGGAAACAATCAGGAAACCATTAAAATCATTAAAAAGAATAACAATTTCTTTTATATATATATATATTGTTCACTTGTTGTAAGATAACGGGATTGGGTATACAAAATTTGCGCCCGAAACAAAATCAAATTTTCTGAGAACTTCATTAAGGAACCTTTGGAGCGCTCACAAAATTTAAAACGATTGGCCGTTGCAGTTTTAAATACATCTCTCTGCGTTTTATATATGATGATAGACTTTGTGATCATTTCTAGTATTCATGCTAACGTTATGGATATGTGATGAAAGCTATTTGCCGGGTAATGCGATCACAATAAGGCATCATTCCACTAGTTTGATCGGGTTCATTGTAAAAAAAATTTCAAAACAATATTTTATAATCAAATAGGACATATAAGCCACAAATTTATTTTATTGCGTTAGTCCATCTCCACTCAAAGACCCAAAAAAAAAAAAAAAATATATGCATATAATATATATATTTATGTGTAATGTACATATATATATTCACATATTTCATTACTCAACCGTATATAACGTTTCGTAGAAGAAAAAAAAGAAAACTCGCGAAAAACTGCTAAACAATTCAAGTAAAACAATTTTTGCAATCGAAATTTTGCCAAAGAACTTAATGGTTTTTTTTTTTTTTGCAAATTATATATATAGGTAAGTTCTATTTTATTGCGGCAGTACATATATGCTCGTTATTATCGTGTACATCTATTTTAATTATCAGTTGCTTGTATCTTAAGACTAAAAATACACTTTTAGACTAGTATGATGTAAAGCTTCATGATAACTTTAGTGGGTTCTAGAAATGTTTAAAATTTTTTACTGCAAAGTCAAATTTTGTTGATATCATAAATATTATATAATTACGTTTTCTCAATATTTTTTTTCTGCACAAATATGTTATTTCAAATTTTCCAAAAACTTTTTTGTATACTAGCGTAAACAAAAATTCAAATACATTTTGCATTGCGATTACGTTGCAATTTTCAGTAAAAAAGTATGTTAAAGACTAAACGCAGTGATGTCGAAAGTTTTTATTTTCATACTGACTGCGTTTTTTTGATAATTTAAAACCTTTATCACTAGTTCTTTTCAGTTTTGAGAAATGACAATTGCTGACCATATAAAAATTTATATAAAAAACAAATTTCTTTAGATTTCATGGGGTGTCGTATGATATGTTATTTTATTACTCGCATGTGTGTGAGTATGTGCAAAAATAACGTCTGTAGCAATAAAAACAACAGCAAAAACGCGAAGGCAGGTTGAATGCAAAAATTTGCGCTCAAAATTGTTGTAATGAACTACATGTGCAGTTTATAAAGCATTACTTTTATGGATAAAATGTTAGTTTTCTGGTGAGACGTTGAGTGCATATTTCGAATAATTGGGTCTGTGATTTTAATCCTTGTTAATGGATTAAGAATTTTTTTCATTTTCGTTTATATATATATAACATAAACGTATATTGCATTTAAGTTCCAGAATATTTAGAACTATGCAAAATAAATGAATTATTCAATGTTAGTAAAGACGCGCGTTTATTTATTTGTCAATATCTTCTAAAATCTGCGGGATGCATGTATTGTTTACTTTGTTTGTAATACTTTTTCCTACAAAACGCAATTTATTTAATTTTATGGATAAAGAATTAATTCCTCCGTTCTAAATGTTTGTGCTTTTTCGCAAAATACGTTATTATAAATTTTACACAATTTTTTTACAATTATGTGTACAGATGTGCAATGCATGCTATGTTTTGCTTTATGTTTCATTTCGTCTTGTTTCATTTTTCGATGTCGACTTTCGTTAGGTTTACGCGTCAATGGTTTTTTATACTTTACTATTTGGTTCCAGCTCTGTAATACGGCAAATACCGGCACAAGCGAACGTATTTTGAGGAAAAAGGATTGTCCAGTGACGAAGCGACCACCAATTATTTGTTTTCGAAATTTCATCAGTGGCGATGATGTTTGTGTGGTTAATTAAATTAGCCACACTTTGCCCAAGAAACCCAAAAGAGTTTAAAAAAGATAAGGTAAGACATATGCTTCAACTCTACTTCGCTATTTTGCTATATTCATATATATGTACTTATAACATACGTATGTTTCTTCCAATAGTTTTCTCCACAACGCAAATAATTGCGAATATACCAGCAAGATAATGAAATTAACATAATAATAACCTTTCTAACAACATAAAAATGTTGAAAGAAAATTATTTTGGGGAAAAAATCGTGCATAGAAAATTCGGTTTAATATGAAGTCTTTGGAATTTTCGCAATGGTCACTTTCTTAGGACATTGTCGATGTGAGAACTTGGTAATTGCTGCCTTTTGGCCCAAAAGATTGTCGGATGAAAGCTAACAATATGATCAAGCTAGAACAACAAAATCCACATAATATCATGTAGAAACTGAACATATTGTATACGCCTTTTCGCCATACAATTTGAATAAGTTTGAATTTATGAATCTAAAAGCGATTGGAAGGTAAAGTACATGCTTCAACCCTATTTTGCCATTTTAATTAATATAAATACATTTCCATCAACAGTTTTGCGTATAACGGAATCAGCTGAACTACACGACGAAATTTGCACAGAATTAACGTAACGAAAATGGAATCAAAGTTAGTGTGAATTAACAAAAAACGCAAGTATTGACATTTGTTTTAAGTTTAATGTTTAAAGGAAACATCAAATTGTTTTTAAAGAAAGTGCTTATTCATAAATTCATACCATTGCATTAATATTTAAACAATGATAAGCATAAGTTCTTAATTTTATTTACGACATCTTCTTAAACAATATCTAGATTTAAATAAGTTTGCAAAAATGTAACCATGAGTACTCAGTTTTGATCTACGCTATGTTTCAAACGTAATTAGAAAAAACTAACTACTATCGGAACTTTTTATAAAACAGAATAGAATACTTTGATACTGGTGATTAATCTATTTTTCATTTATTATGGTACTATTTAATTCCAATGGGTAATGTTTATGTTGGAAAACAAGAGAAATATTTGAATGATTTTCGATAGATCAATTACTATCGGCAGAAATATTAAGTTCAGTACTGGCTTTTAAGGCAACATATGTTTCGCATTTTATTTATCAACATTATTTTCTATTAAATAAATTGAGGATATTTTGAAATCTAAATTCATTTTTCACATTTAAGTATTTACTATTTTCTAACTAATTGGAAAGAGTGGATGTTATTATGTCCACTTAGCTGAATCCAATTCTATGTATATATGAAATGGTACCTACCTAAAGCTTGAACAAATATAATAGTACTTTATAATTATGAACAAATATAATAGTAAAAGTACTATTTACTTTATGGGTAAACCTAGTTGTTGATACCACTTTGATGCAAATTTAGTGAACATTCGCATATGAGTATATGTGTCTGGCAAAAATATCCGAATTTTATATAACTACATGGTTAATATTTACATAAAGAACACGGTTTCAGTTTAATAAATTGTGATCTTCCTTACACTCAGTAAAATAAAACGCCTGCTCCCACCGTCTGTAGAAACTGAAGCGATTTTCTTACGCAACTTGCGAAAAGTTTAACTTTCATTTAAACAAATATAAAGCAATGAATGGTTATCACTTCAATGAAAGTTATAGTGGTTTACTTACTACCCAGATGGTCGAAGATGGTGCCGCCTGATCTGCCCTTCTACTTCAAAGAAAGAGAAAAGCATTGAAAAAATATAATATACATAACCAATAAAAATTACTTCATTAATTCTCGGGATATTAGCATCCACAATGCAATCAATAGCCCTAAGTGGACGAGCTTTCAAGTCCTTGAAGTAATTGTCCACAATTTTGACGCGAAGCCTCAAAAAAAATCGATTTATTCCTATTGGCGTAGGAAGTGAAGTTGATACCTTGGACCGACATGGTGACTCCATAAAAATAAGCTATTTTTATTAGTATCCCAGAAAAATGTTCGAGGCCCTCCGGCAACCCATGGATGATGAAGTTCGGTCTATTAATTACCTTATACATCGCATAAAACTCCCAGATGCACGCCAATAATTTGGCATCAACAATCTCTTGAACCTGTTGAGTCTGTTGTGTTTGTTTGTTGCATTTCTCTCCATTCATTTGAATTTCATCGCTCCTTAACCATAGTTCAGTCCTGAGAGCACTCAAAGCATTATCCCCAGATTTCATAGAACATTGCATTTAAATAGGTCTTGTCCATTTTAGAGGTGGGATCAACATCCACCATATGTGGATTTTGTAAACATTTTACTTCATAAGTGCTCAGTACAGCCTCGCTCAGATCTGTCAAGCAGCAAGTATTACGCTCGAACGGTAAATGAAATACACAGAATGAGATTCACACGTACAAGAACACCAATGCAGTTCAAATTCCAACGAAATTAAATCAAACACCCAAAATAAAATCTGAAACTACGGCAGCAGTAATCATACAAGTCGTTAATATATTGTACTTATTCTGGTAAGCTTTGGAGAGAGAATTAAAATCTCCGTTATACAGCAGAGATATTTTAACATAGTATACAGTAACAATCAGAAATGTATTACTGGCATTCTTGTGATGGTTTATTTAGCAGCTTTTAAATTAGACTCTGCCTCTGAACACAGAGTTGCTGTTATATTTATGGTAGAAGTTCGGCATTTTGGAACGTAATTACGTTTCTTTCTTACTCTGATTTTTCTTCAGTATTTACAATCAAGTATGTTGATTTCTGTTTTGTTCATACAAGTGTTCTATTCATTACATTCCTTTACTGCATTCATAACCGCTCGCTTATATTGTCTTATTTCCAATGCGCCAAAATAAGGTATCGGCTTTCGACAACGGAAGCGCTACGCACCTAAAGGTGCAAAAAAAATGGGCATAAGTTCATTATTCAAAATAAAACAAATGTTTTTATACATTTATACGATTCGTGCAAATAGGTAAGGCCATCCGTTAGTTATCGGAAATCAAGAGAGTTCATCCCGTCTGGACAGTTAAGCAAACGTTTTGATTGCGCAACTTCTTTTGCCTTGGATTTCGCCGTGAAATTTGACAAGAAAAAATTGGTCATACATTGCATTAAAAAAGTGGAATTAATGCTTTGATATTTTTTTTTTCTAGTTTGTCTTGTTTTGTGTATGACGCAAGCTTTTCTGCATCAATTTTTTGTTTTTTTTTTCGTGATAAATAAACGGAATGAAACTATTACTGTTAAAACTGTAAACCGAAGCTAAGAAGAAGAAAAGTTTGAAGATTTTGTATTTCTTTCATTCTATCTTGCAAATCAAACGAAACGATAATATAATAGCTAGATGTTTAGTGTTTGAGAGATGAAACAATAATAAACACATACATTGAATGTTTTGATTTTTTTTTTTGCTTTGGGTTTGGGAATGTAATGTTTTGTACAGTCTAACTAAATGAAGGAATGGTCAGGAGCCTAATCGGTTGGTATGATTCGACCAAACGTTACGTCCGTTACGTTCCGTAGAACTGACCTTAACTAGGTTATTGCTAATCTTGCATTGTAAGGCTATATATTATAGTGTAAACTTAGCATAAGTTATTGATAAAGTGCGACAGAGTGCGATAAATCGATAATGCTACAGTACAAAGATGAATTTTATTGCTAAAAGTGTGGATTATAAATTACAATTCTTATAAACTAACTCAGAATTATTATGCTACAATTATAAAATCATAAAATGATGCACTTGCACTTTTGCGTTCGTTTACACCCAGTTTAGCCAAAGCAACTGTCTTGAACACGGCGATGCATTTGCCAGTTATAACATCAAATTACACTTTTTTAAAATACCCTGTGATATCCCCATCTCGCAATGATATCGCGCTTTACGACGTACAAGTTGCATGCAACGGAGTTATTTTCAAAAGTCGCATTGTACGGGATATGATTTTCGCAAGGTTGTTTGCGTAGTTAATGTTGCTAGTGATTTAACAAAACGAGAAATAAGAAAAACGAAAAGTGTTACGTGTTTTATGAAATTTCTTCTCCGACATCATTTATCACCAATCGATTGAGTGATGGTAAAAAACCGTCAGTTATATGCCGCTTTGTTGACAGGCGATGAACGATTTTCTTTTTGCAAAAGAATTATTCTGGATTTGCATAAGTTTGTCACACTTCGAAGTGGATGCATAACAACGATATGCAATCACACTACAATAGTCTTATAAATCTTTCATCTAAATGAAGTAGAATATCTTCCTGAAAGGTTCTATTTTAGTTCTTAATAAATTTAATATAGTATTCTCAATTTAGTTTAATTTTTGATTCCTTGTTGCTCCTTCTTTTTGAAATCTTTTTAGTAAATGCATATAACCACTGCAAAGAATATATTATTAACCATATGATTATGTATTGTTTTCGCAAGAATACATCACCGTTTTGATTATCAAAAGTCACACATGCAAACGTTTCAAAAATTTGCAAAAATTTGTATTTGTGCACAATGCACAAAAGAACTTTTATTTTGATAGTTTGTGGGCCATCTACAACGTAGTCATTGTGTTTTAGTTTACATTTTATGTTGTGTTCATGGTTCATTCATGTTGTTTCAAATTTTAATACAGGCTTGCATTGAAAATAGCGTTGCCATGTTTCAAATTTAGTGCCTTTATATGTCAATCGGCTTTGTACTGTATTAATATTTTACTCCAGCTATGTAATATGGCGAATATCGTCAAATGCTGTATTGCTGAAAAATGTTTTCAATAGATTTAAGTGCTTTGTGCGAATATATTGCAGAAAAAGACTGAAATTTTACAAATAAAAAAAGGAGGTATAAAAGGTAAGACATACACTTCAATTATACCTTGTCATAAGGATTCACTAGTATACATTCATTTCCACCCTAGTTCCTTTATAATGTCATTAATTGCAAATGCTTCACATAAAGAATTTATAAAAAGGAGGCTTTATGGAAAAACAAATCATAATTTTGCATTACTGTGTCAAACAATTGCTTTCAATGTGGAACAAGGACCACTTTCACCTGAAATGTCATTGTTTACCTGAAAATGCGCTAATACCTCTGCAAGGGTAAAACTGTAACCAAAAAAAAAGCAATATGTTCATACGAAATTAACTATGCTGTCAATATTATGATTATGAATGCCGTCCTATTTCATTATGAAATTTAAATAAAATTGGAGCAATAGAAACATTGGGGAAATACCAAAGCAAATTTTTTTTTAATCTGAACGAAGCCGCAACGTCTGATGAAACTATACCAGGAGATGATAATAGTCGAGTGAATTTTTATTATTACAAATGGCAATAGCACACAGAGTCCCAAAATTTGTACGAGATTGAAAGAAGCAAGAAGACATCAATCCATGCCAATTTCAGAAACCGCAAGTATTTACAAAAATCTACCATTGGAATATATATATATATATATATATATATATATATATATATAACGTAATTATAACTTTGATCCTACTTACCGTTTCAAACAAATTTTTGCATTTAAATATGTTTAAAAATATGTATCTACATGGCTTTTATCCTACGATGTTTGTTTCAAACGTAAATAGAGGAACATAACTTCCATTAAGAGAGTTTTCCATAAAAAAAGCCACTATAAACGTGATGCAGAGAGTATTAATGCTGTTGGGCATTCTCTTTTGTCAATTCTATTATTTATTTCCAATATGGGTTACTTACATTGCAAACTAACAAATTGCAAAAGAACTCTCC